TTGCATTTACCATAGGATGTCCTGGAGAGAGACCATGAATATAGGAGGAACAACTGAAGTGTAGTAACACTTTGTCCGGTTAGCCCAAGGTTCCTAGATCCTGGAGTTTAGGAAGCTCCAGAGATATCTTTAACTACAATTTTGGGCCCAACCAAGCATGACTGTGCCATCCCATCACAAAGTCTTGTTAGTAAATTCCTTCCATCTACCTCAGCAGCCTTGATCCTGATTTTTAAATCCTCGGATTTATCTGTCAGGAACTTCAGGTTCTGGGATCGGCTGTCAGCTTTGGCCTTTTCTACTTCCAGAAGTTCCTCCGTTTTTTTAAGATCCCTTAAAAAAAAACACAAAAAGAAACAAACTTTTACATTCAAAGAGATCCCAGTATACAAATACTGCTTAATTATCTATGCTCAGGCAAAACTCTGTAAATGCAACCAACACGAGAAGGGAGAGAATGGAGACCAACTTGCACTTCCCTGCAAGATTTCCCAGTGGAAACATCCATATCCGTTACATCCAGAGTCCCAAAGGCCAGGGAAAAAAAACAGCCCAAGGGGAAAGCCATCTGCGTAAAAGCAGAGAGTAACAGTCTTCTGCATAATTCCCTACTTCAATTAGAGACCTGCTACGCAAGCTAAACTTAAGATCACAGAGAGGGGCCATGGCAAACCTGCACAAAGCACGCAGGTCTGGTATTTTTTGCTACAAGCAGTGCCAGAATTACTACTTTAAAAGACAAAAACCAGAAAATAATTAGACTGCAAGGGGGCTGTGGAGATCATTGGGCCAATCCCAACTCAAGGCAGGGGCTGATCCTGCTATGCTTGGCAAAGCACTTCAGATTACATCCTCTAGGGAATGGACTTGATACTTTTTTTTTTTTTTCTTAAAAAAGCCTCCCACACGCTGATGTGGGTTAACACTGGTTAAAGGAAATCCTTACCTAGAAACGGTTTTTGTTTTGCCTGGCTCCTTCACTGTGACTACAGAGTCCATGCTAGATGTGGTAAGAAAATCAGGTTTGCCTTCAACCTCAGATGAAGGCAACTGGTGGAAGATGCCAGCCCATATCTGAAAACTGCTTGTAGACCATTTTTGGTTCCAAATAATGGGTTTGATGGTACCCCAAATCTCTTTTGATTACTGAATGTGTCGATAGCACATGGCTTTTCACAGATACTTCCAAATATTGTGAATTAGAGATATGTCAAAACCCTGAAAATTCAGTTATCCTTGTTAGTTATCACAACTGATGTTCCACATTGCAGGGATGAGCAGCATTGCTTACATCTTTCCCTTTTCTCATCCATTACTCACTCCTCTAACTGCTTTTCCAGCATCAGCGCTGCAGTCAGTTTTTTCCTAATGTTGGCCAATTCCAGTTCCATTTCTCTGTTTTTCGATTCTGTTGCGTACAGCTCCGAAGTCATATCATTGATGGCACAGAAGAAGCTGGTGAAAAGAGAGATTCAGTGGGAATGCTCAGGAGTCAGCTCTTCTGCAACGCAGAATTATTATTATTATCATTATTTTCTCCACACTTTCCACAAATTACTTGTTTTTTTGGTTGTTCTTGTATTATGATACATCAGGTAACTGCCAGCTATTTTAGAGAAGGAAAGTAAAGTAAGTCACTAAGGGCATTTGCTTCCCTTAACTAACAGATTTCATCTGGAAGAGGAAACGGCCCAGCAATCTCAGTAGGAGGAAGTGAACAAGACCTGGCACTCTAGTGACACGATCAGATGCTCCACTCCTGGCTTGCCAAATTGCCTTTGAAACTGTATTCAGTCCCTGAAAATGCACATCCCCGAGACGTGCCCAGCAGTATTTCAGTCTCTTCCCAAACAGTTCAAAGCTGCTTGCCCCTCCAGCTCAGGAGAAGAGCTGTAAGAGCCAAGCTCCTGAACATCATACAAAAAATTGGATTCCAAGGTAGATTTTAGCCCTTCCTTACTGCCGGTGCTCAGCACAAACCTGCTGTGCTATAGGTCAAAGCCGGGCTAGGGAGAGGGGCCCAGGAAGAGCAGACTAACAGCTGCCATTTCTCTGCGGCTGAGCTAAGGAAATCTCCTTACATTAACCGAGGCCAGGGAAGAGGGGGAAGAAAGAGGAGCTGAGACAAAGACCAGTTACAGTTCCCCAGTCCTTGCCTAAGCAGCATGAAACCTGCTCTAGCTTGTGCTACCTGGCACGACAGTCTGAGCGGCAGCGTCCTGCAGCCACTGACCACAAAAGCAGGGGCAAAAGAGGGATTTAACTGTGGCCGAGGCACCTCTTGGGCGTCAGAGACTTCCTTTGCTGGGATAATCAAGAGTTAGAGCTTTCTGCTCAGTTCCCGTGTCCTCCAGAGCGGCCCAAGGGGTGCAAAAGAAGCCGGACAAGTGATTCCTGGTGTGAAAGTCAAGTTTGAAACTATTGAATAGAAAAAGCAGAGGGAAACAGCACAGACCATGACCCCTGGTGCACAGCGGGAAGAATTACCTGGCAAGAGAAGTGTCCTTTGTTTCAAGTGTCATTGCGCTGTTTACCAGGACATTGAGGTAGCTGGTGCCTTCGCTGGACAGACTGGATAGAGAAAGATCCAGGCTTTCCGCAAGAAGGCCCTGTAGATAGTTAGCTGGAAAACAAATACAACCCAAAATAGTAATTTTGTTTATATTACTCTTCTTTTAAGGCCTAGATGGGACTCTTTTCTTTTAACATGTGTGTTAAAAACCGTATTTTGGTCTCCTGAACCACTCGCTCCAAGAAACCCACATTAGCACTCACTCACTCTAGACAGCTCGAGCATAACTTAATCACCTCACTGTTGTTTCAACTTCCTCAACTGCTTTCCTTAACAGTGGATTAGCACCAGCTCAGACTCTTAAATCAGCGGTAGGGTTGCTTCCCTGTCTACCCAGCC